GAAGACTCGGCCGATGCGGAGCGCACATCCGCCAAGTCGGCTGAAGAGGCAGAAGCGCGCAAGAAGTTGAAGGAGGAAAAGAAGGCCCAGAAGAAAGCTGCTCAGAAGGAGAAGAAGAAGGCCAAGGAAGCCGCTAGGAAGGTCAAGGTAGCCGAGCAGCCCGAAGAGACCGAAACACCTGCTGTGCAAAAATCCGAGTCGACCCCCGCCAACAAGACCAAGGAACAAAAACAAGAACAAGAGGACAGCGATAGTGATGACAGTGAAATTGCGGATGGCGTCCCCGCCGAAGGTCTCTCGCTCGAGTTTAACGCCGAACAAGAAGAACAACCATCCTCTTCTGCGTCCACCCCCAACTCCCCTGGGTTCGATGCTTCCAATCCCCAATCGGGCAGCTCTTCCATATCCTCCATTGTTCCCCCCACCGAAGCCTCCAAATCCTCCACCTCCGAACCTAAGCCTCTTAAGCCTACCCCAGATGAGCTCAAGCAACGGTTACAGAAGCGGCTCGATGAACTTCGCGCAGCCCGCCATGCCGATGGGCTCAACGGAAAGCCCGCTAGAAACCGTCAAGAGCTAATCGAAGCTCGCCGCCAAAAAGCCGAGCAACGCAAAGCGCACAAGAAGGAGCTGCGCCAAAAGGCTAGAGAAGAGGAGCAACGGCTGAAGGATGAAGCCATGGTCCGCCGCTTTTCTCCTGGTGGCTCGGGATCCCTTCTCGCCTCCCCGCGCTCACCCGCTGAGTCCGTCGGCTCGAACAACAACTACGCTTTTGGCCGCGTTGTCTTCGCAGATGGCCAACACGCCGACCCCACTCTTTCCGGAGTCCGGGAGCAACCCAAGAGCCACGGTCCTAAAGACCCTGCCGCAGCCTTGAAGGCTGTTGAGGCGAAGAAGGCCAAGCTCGCCGCCATGGACGAGCAGAAGCGGGCTGACATTGAGGAGAAGGACCTGTGGCTTAACGCGAAGAAGCGGGCACATGGCGAACGGGTCCGTGACGACACATCGTTGCTGAAGAAGGCGCTCAAGCGCAAGGAATCGGCGAAGAAGAAGTCCGAGCGCGAATGGAAGGAGCGTCTGGAAGCCGTGAAGAAGGGCAAGGACATGAAGCAGCAGAAGCGTGAAGAGAACCTCCGGAAGCGCCGAGAGGAGAAGGGCACTAAGGGAGGCGGCAAGAAGAAGCAGGCCGGAGGAGGTAAGAAGAAGTCCAGACCGGGCTTTGAGGGCAGCTTCAAGGCCAAGTCTGGAGGCAAGAAATAAGCAAACATTGTGCTGCTGTGTTGGAAGAAGAAGTGGAGACCCGTCCAAAGTGTAATACCAAGCTGCAACCTCTGACCATGTGTACATACACGCACAGAAGAATGGGGGCCGGAAGTTTCAAAAACAAAACAAACCAAAGGGAAAAAGGAAGATCAAAAGGGAAAAGTCAGAGAGGAGCAGAAACATGCTACAGATTGAGCAAAAGAAGCTCGAGACCAAAAAGTTGAAGGGAGTGCGGGCATTGGAGAAACGGTGTTTGGGGAGTTTAAACTCTGGAGGTTCTCTGTTCATTTTGTGCATATATACCGAATCTCACGAAGCATTTTTTGTCTTTGTTGTTTCTTATGCCAGCTGAGCTTGCACAACTACTACATTCATGTACGAATTTGATTGAGTATGCACAATGCAGGTCGCAGCACAGCAGCTAAGAGAGAGACTCTATAAAGAGACCTTAGCTAACCATGCATACCAATAGTCATCATCTTCATTAGAATTGTCTGCCAGCAAACTTTTGTCTATGTCGTAACTCAGTCCAAGTCATACTTCATAAGTCATGAACCCGAAAGAATTACCCATCATCAATCATCATCATCACTCATCCATCATCTATCATCTATCACCACCATCTATCAATCTATCATCATCAAAACTTTTACCCCCCTTCTCAACCTCAACCCCAAACCCCTCCCCAAGATATGAAATTGAAGAAAGAAATCAAGCAAACCTCTCATCCCTCGCCTCCAAACACGCATCCACCATCCCATCAACAGCCAACCCCCTCTGCACCTCCGTACAACACCCAATCTTAACCAACTCCGACAATGCCTCGCCCACCCAATTCTGACAATTCCACCCGGGGATATCATTCCGCACTTTAACCCTAGCGCACGCATCCCTGACCATCTTCCTAGAAATAGTAGAATTATCACTACTTACCGTCGTTACGACGGGGATATTCCGCTCTAGTTTCGCGCTCTGCGTGGGATTCGCCCCGGTTACCTCAACGAATTTAAATCCCCCGGGGGGCCCCGTGATGTGGAACATGCTTTGTTGGTTGTCGGGGTATGTGGTGAGGAGGAGCACGGCGTGGCGGTATTTGATGAAGTCGAGGGGGGAGCCGTGGAAGACGAGGAGGGAGAGGGTGGTGGTCGTTGTGGGGGACATTGTTGGTGGGTGGGTGGGTAGTTAGGGGATGAGGGCTAGGCTAGGTTGGATGGGATGGGATGGGATGAGATGGTGATTCTTGCATTGTAACAGGGGCCATCTCGTGATGGAAGGGCTTATATAGCTATGCTGTTACATTGAAGTTGATGACTTTGGGAGATGTTTGGGACATACCGTGAGCGATACCCCTCCCATATGCAGGAAGGAATGGGACATATTGAAGTCCAGAAGGGTCTACAGATATGCTTAATAGCTTTGTAACGTATCACAGTATGGACATAAGGGCTATGTCAAGGCATTCTCCTACATTCATCTACCAGTACTGGAACGTGTCAACCTGCTACTGCACAAAGAAACTCCCAACACCAACACTAACCTAGTCTACTAGCTCTGTGGCTTTGTTACAGACTGCGGGACGGGACGTTCTCGTCGCTACCAGAGATTGAGGGAGAAGATAATGGCAGTTTCCTTTTACTTTGTGGGGAGATGAGTGGTAGTTCCGTGGGAGGTCTGTGGTGTAGGACTGCCTATTCAGGTACTCGTATGGATAGTATGCTTTTGTGGATGGTCTAGGCTCTTGTTGGATATGGAAGCAGAGTTGCGGTGTAGGTACTATGTATACTTTGAAAGTATCATGTCGGTCGAGATGGGTTTATCCACAATGGCTTATCGGACATAGGGGTGGTTATGTTCTATGTTGTTGAGTATGGGTGGGTCTGCATGAGAGGGTAGGGATATATCCGATGATTTCGATTGATAGAGGTATGTAATAGCAAAAGACGGGTGGTGGGTTGGGAGAGATTGCTAGCTGAGTGCCGCAGTGTTGAGGATGTTGCGTGCTTGGTTGGGCTGTGAGTGACGGAATATTATGGCAGACCATTTGGGATGTTATCAGTATATCGTTGAGTGTTCAAAGCTTATCTGTGGAGGATGGTTGCTGCACTGGCGATAGTCGCTGCTTAAGCACTATTCTGTCACATAACAAAGGAAAAATTCTTTGATTGGATCCCTAGACAAACAAGAGTAAAAAGAACAACACAACATGCAGGATTTCCTTCAACATCAAAGACAAAACCAGACCCGGAATCGAGTGGCCGATCTGATCAATTCCGGTAGACCCGACTAGTACAGAAGGTAATCAGGGAGGCGAAGGGGGGTGGGCGTGAGATATGTACAGCGTGGGGGATAATTGGGAGTGGCTACAAGCCAGGCTTTCTAGGTCGGAAAGACTCTCTTTCTAATATCATGTTTTTCTCGCATCTCTTTCAAGGGGAGTGTCACATGGACACCGTGTCCGGTGTCATCATTGGCAAATACAGGTGCCGCTTAGCGGTAAGGAGCATCGGCTCTGATAGCAGCGGCAATTTCGGGCTCCCACTTGTCACCGTTGGCGAGAAGCTTCTCCTTGTTGTACAGCAGCTCTTCACGGGTCTCGGTGGCATATTCGGCGTTGGAAGCTACGCGACATTGTCAGTAAACGACTCACGTCCTACATGATTTTACTGATTACTCACTCTCAACAATAGCGTCGACAGGGCAACTCTCCTGGCAGTAACCACAGTAGATGCACTTGGTCATGTCGATATCGTAACGCGTCGTGCGACGGCTTCCATCCTCACGCTCCTCAGCCTCGATGGTGATAGCCTGGGCCGGGCAGATGGCCTCGCAGAGCTTGCAGGCAATGCAGCGCTCTTCACCGGTGGGGTAGCGACGCAGAGCGTGTTCGCCGCGGAAACGGGGGGAGATGGGACCCTTCTCGAAGGGGTAGAAGATGGTGTAACTAAACGACTAGCGCATCAGCCGCAGATCCATTGAGGCAGAACAATCCTCCTCAAGATAATGAAAAGCAATAGACAGGCTTAGACGGTCCACGAGACGTTCTGATGATGATATGCACCGAGGCAGACCTGACGAAGCTGGATGGGACGACTTACGGAGGTCTGAAGAACTGCTCCAGCACGACGTACATGCCGCGCAACAACTCAGCCATAAGGAAGTACTTTCCGGCCTTGTCGAGAGAAGACTCAGTGCCTTCGTCCCATTTCTTCGGAGGGGGCAGACGGAAGCCCGGTTGGGGGGGACCAGCTGGCGTAGCTGCCCGGTTCACCGAAGAAGAGAAGTTTGCGATGGATCCCAAGGGCGAAGAGCGGAGAGGGAAGGCTGTAGGACGAGAGTAGGCGACGAGCCTGGCGACGGACTTGGGGGCGGCCATCGCGGAAGTCGAAGAAGCGCGCGAAAGAGCGGGGATGACGAGGGGGGAGGTCAATTGACAGAGGGGGGAACAGCAGCAATTCGAACCAGAAGCGGTTGGAGGTGGAAGTCGACGAAGTTCTGCTTGGGTCGCCGGCCTGCTTAGGTCATGGCTTTCTGCCGCCCCGTGATTGGCCCGCCGCCAGGATTTTGCTTCCTCCGAGCCGCAACAGAATCCAAACCCGTTCATCATCCATCGCTTCATTTCCCCCAATCTTTCCCCATTCCATCACTACCTTCTCCTCCTCATTTTCCCCCCCACTCCACCTCTTCTCTTTATTCAGGCCCTTTTTAGCCTTCCCTTTCAGCTTCACCTTCCTGCCATCATGTTCCGCTCCGCTGTCGTCCGCTCCCTCAGGGCCTCCGTCCCTCGTGCCGTCAAGACTCCGGCTCCCTTCCAGATCCGTAGCTCTCCTGTCGCTCGTCCGGCCCAATTCGCCCCTCGCTTTGCCTACCAGGGTGTCAGACTCTACTCCGCTCCCGCCGGTCTCAACAAGGATGAGGTTGAGGGTCGGATAGTCAACCTTCTGAAGAACTTTGACAAGGTGCGTCCGGAATTGCGCGTTTTTAGCTGCTCCCTCAAGGCGAGGAATTGCAAGCTATCAAGAAATATAAAACAAGCACAGTGACTGACAGGCTGGAACCATTACAGGTCTCCGATGCTAGCAAGGTTAGTTTTGATACCCGATGACGCCCGATGTCATTGGCCGGGATTTCCCGCGGGTAAAGAATCATAGCTTAACGGTCGCGATTCAACAGATCAACGGTGCCTCTCACTTCGCGAACGACCTCGGTCTGGACAGCTTGGATACCGTTGAGGTCGTCATGGCCATTGAGGAGGTATGGATATCGCATATGCCCTGGTTTATACTTGACGTTGTATACTGATAGGGATGTCTATAGGAATTCAGCATTGAGATCCCCGACAAGGAGGCCGACTCCATCCACAGCGGTAAGTGCAGCTTTGGGATGAGATGCCCTTACAGGGTATTGCGACGCCAGAGAACATATACTGACCATCCCTTCTGCTATAGTTGACAAGGCTGTTGAGTACATCCTTGGTCAGCCCGATGGTAAGTTCAACATAACATCCTTCTATGTGCAATTGAACATGACTTACGGGGATTGGGTACTGACTACTTTGCTAGCTCACTAAATATGAACGTAATGCGAGGACTCGGAGTGGATTGGGGGATTTAGAATAGAAAGGAAAGGGACTTCTGGCGTGCATCTACATGGGACTTGCCATAGTGGAGGTACCCGGAGTCGGTCACGCTACTCTGTATGCTGATACATGCCTGTGCTCTTTCACTCTATTATATCGTGTATATCATCTTCAATGCAGTTTTGACTGATTTTGGCTGGTCTTTTCGTATGAAACATCTTCTCTCTTTATTATTGAGTGTTGTTGAAGAAGTAACTTCATTTGCTGGGGAATCAATGCTGAGGGAACTGATAGCGTTGAATTAAGCTTGGAATTGCACGCGGTGTTCAGGTCGGAACGAATCTGATATGCGGTTCCGTGGGATGACGTGGAGGCTACCGATTCGGGAGCAATCAACGAGAAATGTAAGTGCAGGGCCCCAGCCAGCATTTTAAAGGTGAGAAGGGCTGGGATTTTCTGCTGCAGCTTTGAAACCAATGTTAATGCGATTTGTAGCAGAGAGAGAAAAATAAAAATAAATATAAATATAAAACACGCAGGGGCCTGGAACCGAGTGGGCTGGGAATAGATAAGTAGTAGTAAGTAATAAGTAGTAAGTAGTAGTAGTGGCCATAAAAGAAATGGGGTCCGTCACCGGAGAAGCAACAACTACTCTAACTAACTAACTGGAGACGCCCAGCCAAAGGAAGACCAAGCGCCAGATAGCCTTAGCGACCGCATCGACCGCATCAATCTTTATATCTCCTCCATCCAACTTCCCTCCCCGGGTTTTTATCTCCCACCACCACCCTTCTTTTTTCTTGTCTTTGAGTTCTCACCGGGCTGTAATTGGGGTTTCTTGTCGCTGCTCGGCTCAGTTACCCACTTCTCTGGCCGCCCGTCTCCTTCTTCCCCCATTGATTGTCGGCCTGCCTTTCCTCTTCGTCGTCGTCTTCCACCACAACCCCCCCCCTGACAATTTCCCGTCTAGCAAACTTTCCGGCGTCACTCTTCCATTCTAGCAACTCCAACCTCCGATCTTCCTACCCGCCCAATAAGCAAACATCTGTCCATGTCGCAGACGATAACGGCATAGACTCCATCATTTGCGTGCTTATCGACACCACCCTGGTTCCCTTGATCCCTCCCTCCCCCCCACTCCCGTCCTCCAGCCGCATTTAGATCCTCATGGCCTCAGCCGGGGGCTTGACTCGCCGGAGAGGTGGCGGTCGAGTCGCTGGCGCCGAAGACAACGACGACAGCAGAGTCTCTTCGCCCGTGTCGAGAAATGGCTCGTCGCTGGATAACCGCATCCCCGAGACCTCGTTCACCAGCTCCGAAAACGGTCACAAAATCGCCTTTGATCCTAGGGACATCAGTGAGACGGAGGAACGCAGCAAGCAGCCCAAGTTGACGTTGATGGAAGAGGTGCTTCTGCTGGGGTTGAAGGATAAGCAGGTGAGCCCCTAGCCTGGCTAGCGCATCTACAACCGGTGTTCAATGACTGACAGGCGCGTCCGGGATGGCTTGGTGTCGCTCTAGGGTTATCTGTCTTTTTGGAATGAGAACATCTCATACGCTCTCCGAGGATGCATCGTGATCGAGTTAGCGCTCCGTGGTCGGATCAGCATGCAGAAGGACTCCTCTCGGCGACGTTTCCCTTTGGCCGATCGGGTGATTGAGGTGGTCGACGATACGCTAACTGGGGAGGTCTTGCTGGACGAGGCGCTGAAGATAATGAAGTCGAGTGAGAAGATGAGCGTGAACTCCTGGATCGATTTGTTGAGCGGTACGTTACCCAGGAGCATCTCCGATCATATTCCTTATTGATTCTTCCGCGATTGCTATTGACGCATTGGCTGACTCGACGTGTCTTCCGGGCAGGTGAAACATGGAATCTGATGAAGATTGGCTACCAACTCAAGCAAGTGCGCGAACGCCTCGCCAAAGGTTTGGTAGACAAGGGTATCCTCCGCACCGAAAAGCGGAACTTCCTCCTCTTCGATATGGCTACGCATCCCGTCGCCGATGGAGGCGCCAAGGACGATCTCCACCGCCGCGTCCGCAACGTCTGCAGCAGCCGTACAGTGATCCTCCCGGCAAATGCATGGCTTCCTGAAGACGTCGAGTTCCGTTACCTACGAACCATCACCATGGTATGCGCGGCCTATGCGGCCAACGTGCTGGAGAACGCTCTGGTCACAATGAGTCACGAGGCCCGTGAAAGGGCATTCGCGCAGGTGGATGAGTTGCTTGCTGAATACTCTCAGTGGCCATTTGCCCGGAGAGCAGGAGGGTCGCAGGCCATTGGAGCCAACCTGGCACAGGCTATCAACGACGAGGTGAACAAATCTAAGGACCGAGAACTTCAGATGGAGGTACGTTTCTCCTCATCCATTGACTACTCTGCGCCCAGTGCTAATTCTCTTGCAGATTGTGGCAGCATGTTTGAGCGTTTTCACTAGACTCGACTCCCTACTGTAAGGGTATTATCATTCTTCGTCATCTGCTATAGTCCCCAACCTAGTTTGTCTTTTTTACTTTCCTATTATTTCCCCTTATGCTATTGGTTTCTGAATCAACAAAACAACTACCCCGGGGGAGCTCTACTTGGCTTCATCTTGAAGTAGTCACCGGTATACCGGTTGGAACTGGCAGAGTGGCGTTTATATGAAATCCTTCTTGCATTGTTTTGCACGGGATGTTCGATTCGATCTCCATTGATCTGTGTTTTCATCGTCTGCTTTTGTTCCACAGCTTTCTTTTCCACCCATCGACTCGCTTGTTCCCTCTCTTTTCTCAAGGAGGCAAAGCGCGGCCATGTCATATGTATTTCTCAAACACCCCCCAACTCCCACAGGAATTGTACGCACCTCTGGGAAGTTAAACCCCGTTCAGATGCATGCAGCCAGGTCAGACAACCAGCACCGGGGCGCCATCCAGAACACTGAACCCGGTATGCCATGACAAGGACGCAACTGGTTTGTGCCTTTGTCATCAGACAACCAAAAACTATCGAAAAGAAGAACCAAAAAATAAAAGAGAGATTAAGAATGAGTGCTACACATGGAGACAGAGACATCCAACGAGGCCTTGCATGGCTTTTACTTTATTTACTATTCTACTTATGATCCTTTTATTTCCCTCTATAAAATTTATTTTCTTCTACTATTCTCCGCCTTCCGTTTCTTTCTTCTACCTAAAGTCTTATTCCAATTGTTTCCACTTCCTCTAATCATCCCCATAACACTCCCTCCCTCTTTCATCTTCTTTTCTTCTCTCAACATGTGTAGCAGAGGGGAGCTTAAAGGTTCCCTGTCCTTTTCCTCTTCGTCTACTCGTTTCCTTCATTCATGAATGTATCTACCATGTACACCGGGTGGCTTGTGCTGTCGAATTCGTCTTCCTTCCTATCAGTTCTTCTTTTCTTTTCTTTTTTTCTTGTTCCTTTTCGATCATCAGGTCGCACCAAAGTCTTGTCGTGAGGGAGGGGTTTTGTTTATCCCATGCTGCACCTGACTCGGAGTGAGCCTGTATGTGTTTCTACTCCCCCTTTCTCTTTTCCAATTCCCTTTTCTTCTCTTCTCTTCTTTTCTGTCCGTTGATTGTCCTTCTAGCGCTTACTCTTCCACCATGTCGTTAGTTACTCTCAAAGGTATGCTTCGTCTACCTGTAAGATTCAATAACAAGAAAAGAATTTTGGTATTAATCTGTCTCATGCGCCCGGGCTAACGAGATATTTTGCCTTGGTCTGCCCTTCTCTGACGATGGTCTATGGATCTACTAGTCTAAACATTGATAAGTCTAATCGCTAATGTAGCTGCCAAGTATGGTACATTCACTGAGCTGTCATGCTGCTTTAAAATACAAAATCACGAAGATAATAGATATCAGACGCTTAATGCTAGTTAACCCGAATCACCATCATTCCTCCCCGACGTCCTCCGCCCGCTCCTGCCGCCCCCGAGGATAGCACGTCCGTGCCGTCAACCAAGTCCTTGATGCTCTCGACCCTCCCTCGGACCTCGTCTGCCTCAACTAGCTCGGAAATCTGGCTCAAGGCTTCACCGTTGGGGCTGACGAGAATGAAGCGACTAAGCACGCCATCCTTGCGTGGCTCATCGTCATCGAGAGGGTTCCTGGCTTCCGCCGGCGTCGAGTCTACCGCGGTCAGGACAGCACCATGCTCTTTGATGACCTTTGGAGAGTGTGCTTGCTCGAACATCTCCTGACCAGCGCAGTCCAGGACAACATCTACCGGGTCCCAGCGGTTCTTGCGAAAGATGGACCCGAGATCATAGTCATGTGGTAGGGGAAGTGGCGCATAGATTGTCGCGTCCACGTCGTATCCTTTCCGCAGGTAATCCTCCTGGTCTTCAGCGTCACAGGTTGCGCAAATCCAGGGCCGCGAGTGCGGGAAGAGCTTATGCGATCGAAGCAATTGTAGTGCCTGAGTGGCAATTTCATTGTTGCGCGCGTTGGTAATGAGAACCCGTAGCTGCTGGCGACCCTGTTTAACGTCGGCGGTGTCAAGCCCGGCGTACTTGAATAACGCCTCCCAGGCCGTCAAGGCGGGCATGGGTATGGTAGCTGCCTCAGCAGCGCTGATATTCTTGGGCTTGTACGCCAGCTCATCTTCCGATACGATGACGTAGTCGGCTGCTGCACCGTCGCGCGTGTGCTTGATCAGCCCAAAGACGGCGTCGTCAACCTTGAATTTGGGCCCGTCTGGGTTCCAGTGGTCTTTTTCAGGGGTACTAATGACTGTACCGCAAAAACTATGCAAAGGGATCTGCGGAATGGACTTGGATGGGTTCAGAATATTAGATAGCCGGAGCTCATCATGGGAAAAGGCGGCTGCCTGCACCTTGACGAGATAGTCGTTCCCTGAAGGGATGGGAGTTTGAAAGTCCGTGTCGAACTTCACATGGGAATCGGTCCTAGGCTCGTCCATAGATGTGTGGTCTGTGACGGCTGTTGATGCCGGGCTGAAGTAAAGCGCCCTCATTGTT